TGTAGCCATTTTAAACCTTTTTTAAAGTTAGACTAGTACCTCTTAAATAATTCACTTGGTTATACTTAGCCTTGCAGTGGATTTTTGGACTGACAAAACTCAGCATGTAGGAACTGAATTTACACCTTACTCTTTTAGCAAGAGACTTTGTTAATAAGCACACCACTACTCTGAATGTTGGTTACAGTGTATTTAAAATGTATTCAGGTCCAGCAGGTGGGATGGCCATTAAGGCACTTCACTCTCACATGGCTGATAGTGATTCAAGTTCAGGACCTGGCAGTTTGAAAATCATGCCAGGTGCATGTGTGTGCATGCCCAGAATCCCAAGAAGGGAATGGTATTGTGGCGTAGCTATCCCCCTAGGGGATGTTTTCTCACTTTCCTTCTGTCTCTCTCTGACAAGCACATACGCTTTATGGCAAAAACTTTTTAAAAAATGTACTTACAGAGGCCAGCAGGTGGCATGGTGGTTAAGGGGTTAAGGCGCTAGACTCCCAAATGGCTGAAAATCATGCTGGGTGTGTGTGCATTCATGTCTAAAATCCCAAGAGGAGAATGGAGGAGAAGGGATTGTGAAGTGGCCATCCCTCTGAGGAGTGATTTCTCACTCCCTTCTCACTGTCTGTTTTTGTCTCTCTCTGGTGAGTACATGTGCCAGACAGAAAACAACAACAACAACACACACACACACACACACACACACACACACACAAACCAACACCAAGAACTTTAAAAAATGAAAGTGTTTGCACAATGACCTATCTAAGAGAGACTATTTCTATATTAACTTGCCTTTAGTATATGAGTGAATAAAGAATGGATGAACAGAAGCCAAGATAAAAGAGATATGGGTGAATTATATGTAAAATTAACTCCCTAATGTATTTTAAATATTTCCAGAATAAAAACATGTTGGAACAGGTTCAAACTCAAAACAAATTTTATATAATGGTATCATTTGACATTTCTCCTTAAAAAGGTTCGAAGACACATTTTCTATATTTTTAGAAATATACGCTTTATAAATATTTAAATATGTAAAAGCTAATATTCTTTCTCATAGAGTTTATAAGGCTTTTGACACTGTTGATAAGCTAAAACTAAAAGAGGCTTTTCAAACCAAATTTGTTATAACACTGAAATTAAGAGAATTAGTGAAAAATGGAAAAATGTTACAAACACCAAGATTATATTTTTTAAATGGCACCAAATTCTAGACTGAACAGCCTGTCTTTTCTCACAGTCTGAGAGTCTGTTTTAAAGTTGAAGAAGTGAATGATTTTACACACTATCACTAAGGCATCTTTATCTGTAAATGTTAAATTCTTTATTTTGTATTTACCGAAATGCTCCTGTGGGTTAAGTTTATTAAGTCTGGAACTCTGCCCACCTCCTTTTCTTTTCCTTCCTACGTTATCTATTGTCATTGGGGAACCTTGATCCATATGTGCTAAATTCTATAGTCATGTGTATTCTTCAAAATGTCCTCTGTACACTGCATGTTTTTTGAAGGCTAGGTCATTGTCCATCTCCTCCTCATTTTCATTCCTAGAATGGTGGCCTTGGAAAGTAGACATTCAATAAATCCTCATCAATGAGGTTGCCGCTTCCTTTTCCGATTAATGCAGACACTGTGGTTGTCCTCATGGGACTTCCAATGAATCATGTGAGGCTAGCAAGGCGAGTAAACTAACATGATATGTCAAAAAGTGACTTGCTGTGGTGTGACTGGGTGTGATATCGACAGAGATGGACCCACTTGGACAGAATTGGCAAGGGAGCCAGAGGGAAGAGAGCAGTATAGCAGAGACTTGTGAATTAGGGAACAACCACTGCAGGAACAGCTGCAGGTAGCCTTCAAGACAAGGAAGAACGTCATGTGTTGCCTCAGCAGGTGGTGTGGAGGTTAAGGCAGCTGGATCCAAAATAGCCAACTCCTCAGTTCCAGTCTCATACCTGGTGACTTGAAAATCACAATGGGTGCATGTGCATGCATGCCCAAAATCCCAAGAGGAGAATGAGGGAGAAAGGACTGCAGCATAGCCATCACCCACTGGGGGGTGATTTATCAATTTCCCTCTCTTTGTCTCTATCTCTGTCTCTCTATCTGGTGAGTGCACACACCTATAGCAAATAGCAAAGACGGGAAAAAAAGGAAAAAAAAAAACATGTCGAAGGAACTAAAAAAAAATTTCAACTAAATGTCACAAACCATTTGAAACTTAAATTGTGTTATCCTGTCAGCTTCATTCCTCATTTGCATCTCTGACTATCCTTTTTTGAGGTACAATTGCAAGTTTATTTCAATTTATTGCAAGTTTATTTTACAGCCATATGTGTTTACAAAACAACATATTTTCTAACAAACTAGAGGTTCTTCAGGAAAGACTGAATCTAGTTTTTCGCTTTCTACTGAGCATCAATAGTGTGGACAAAAGACTTTCATTTGACAATGGCCCCAGCTGATTGTTGAGACTAAACACTGACAAAAACTGACTCCCACCATCTTTGCCTTAGCTTGGAAGAATCACAAAATGTCATTTGACACCCTGTTGAAAGTCCATTTATGTAGTGAGACCCCTATCTGTGACTCATTACAAATTGATCAGCCATGATCTTCCAACCTTAATAGATTATCATCGCTTCACTCTGAGGCTTTCCACAAGGTAACTGAGTAAACATGTCAAAAAAGAGATGGGAAACGGTCAGGTCTCAAGGATGATTCTTTAGTTTTCGTCTATTTGTATTTTTTTGTCATTGTTCTTTAATTGCTGGCTCATCATGGTCACTTATATCATGAGTGAGATAAAAAAGATAAAATAGAAGTAAAACTACCATCAGATCCTAGGTTTAATATGCAAGATTATACTGGTTGGCGACAGCTATCAATATCCACACCTGTTTCAAATAAGATTGCTAAAATAATCTATTCATACAAACACTGCAATTTGAAGTAGTAGTATTTTTGTAAATTATAATAGCTATATTACTAATTTTAGTAAGACTTTCACACAGCAAAATTAATGTATTCCTTATTAGCATTGCTTGGAAAAGCACCTGTCTAGAGCCTGTTCAAACAGCACATATTAAACTGGGCATTAGTGCAATGCCTGCCTCCCCCAGAAATGATTATTATTTTCTTTCAAGTTTAACAAACATACATTTGATACCTTTCTGCAAAATTATCTAGAGTTTCAGCTTTACACAAAAATTTATTTTCAGTATATGGCTATTCTATCTCTCTTCTTTCCTTCCTTTTACCTCCTACCTAAATATCTTCCTGCCTCTTCCTCTCTCCCTCACTCATCCATCCATCTACCATATCTTTCGCTCTCTATTAATTATTTATATTTTCCATTCATCCACCTATGTGTTCCCACATGCCTCCAAGGGGAGTTCAAAAGGTTCATGGACAAAAGGAAGAATGAATTTAGGGGCCAGACAGTGGTACGTCAGTGAAATTTGGCACTCAGTGAGACAGACCCCATGGAAGGGTTTAGGGTTTGCATCCAAAGACTTCCCTAAGTATACCAGGTATGGACGTGCCCATGATCTGGGGCTGATTGAGCCTGGGAGTGACCAATGGCATCATGACTCTATTGGGCATTCTCTCTCTCTCTCTCATTGTTGCTCTTGCTCTCATTCATAAAGTGATTACTTTTTTTTAAGAAGTGAGTTTATTTTGGTATTAAAAATATGTAAAGTCTATGCATAGTTTTTTCATACTGTGCAATTTCTATGAACTTCTTCAAGAATCTTCATATCTATATATTTATCACCTGTATAGCCATGATCTATCTATTTATCTACCTACCTATCTAACATTTGTTTATTTATCATGGTCTGTTTATCTCTTTCTCATATTTTCCTTGTTATGCAAGGCCTTAGCCTCATTTAGAGATATCTTTGGTTCCTTGTTTGTCTTGATCCAATATTGATCACCCCAGGGAGTATTTCTTCATTCAAGAGAAGAGGACCCTGTGCTCTACAGATCGTTCATAGAATCAGAACATATCAGTGTGTCAAACAGAAACTGATCGTGGCTAGATGTCATGTCATGGTATTGATCATCCTCAGAAAGTGTTTATGAAAAATAATGACAACAAAATACTTTGAGTGTTGGGAAAGCTAGGTGTAGAAGACAACTTTCCAGCTTTAGAAAGTCTTTTCCATATGTTAATATGGATAATTACATTAACTCTACATATATAACTGTTTTGTTTAAGGTTTTTGCCTTAGGATACATCCACTCACCAGAGAGAGACAATGAGAGGGAAAGTGAGAAATCACTCCCCAAGGGTGATGGCCACACCACAATCCCTTCTTCTCCATTCTCCTCTTGGGATTTCGGACATGCATGCACGGGCACCCAGCTAGCATAATTTTCAAGCCTCCAGGTCTGGGACTTGAACCACGATCGACCATGTGGGAGTCCAGTGCCTTAACCACTATGCCACTTGCTGGCCCTGTCTACATGTATAACTTTAAAAATACTTATTTCAGGATATGTTGAATATTACCAAAATATAGTTTATTAACTATAAGCAACATCTTTTCTGCTTATAATGAGTTATATTTTCACTAACTCTAAATGGTAAAATATATATTTGCTATATATTTAAATATAGTAGAAGTTAAATCTCATTTTTAGGGCTGTTAATAAGTACCTTGGGAACAGTAGAAATTGGGACTTCTGTAAAATTTTATGTTAAAGCTTTCCAATATATATGGTTATCCATATAACTATTTCAGGCAGCTTGAGTATCACTTGAAATACAGTGGAATTAAGGAGCAAAACTGATCATTTACATTGGTATACTTTTCCAGTGATCTACCGTAAAATTGATATTTTTACTTTTCTATCACAGCGAAACAAATCTGAGAGTCTTCATTTCCTTAGACCCTCATCAAATGATTATTCAGCTATGTATTTGTAATATTAAAAGCCACGAGACATTCCTATTATGCTAAGTAACACTTTGCCCCTCTGAATTTAGGTCATCAAGCTAGCCTTTGAAGAATTTGAGCTCGAAAGAGGATACGACACCCTTACTGTAGGCGATGCTGGGAAAGTTGGTGACACCAGATCCGTCCTCTATGTGTGAGTATGTCATTACCTTCTTCAATGTTTAAAATTCTGTGGACAAACATGGGCGTACATTTGTAATTCCATTACACACTTTCTCTCCTGCCTTAGATGTTTAATAAGTGCCATAGTTGGGGACCAGCAGTTAGCGTAATGGCTATGTTGTTGTACTCCCATGTAGTCTACTGCAGTTCGAATCCCAGACCCAGTGGCTTAAACTCACACTGGGCGTGTGTGCATGCGTGCCCAAGATCCTGAGAGGAGAATAGAGGAGAAGGGATTGTGGTGTGACCATCCCTCTGGGGGATGAATTCTTGCTTTCTGTCTCTCTGTCTCTCTCTGTCTTTCTGGTGAGCGCATGCACCCTATAGCAAAAAAATCTCTCCAAAATAAATAAATAAATAAATAAGTAAATAAGTAAGTGCCATGGATGACCCATCTAGTGACTTCCGATCTGATTTTGCATGAGAACTAATTTAGGTTTGGGTTTTTCTATGTCAGTTGTTTTTCCAAGTCGTCAAAACATGTATTTATAGCCCAAAACAAAAACAAAAACAACAAAGCAAATGCACAGAGGTGCATATAAAATTCTCGTACAAATAAAATTCTCATTTCAATCTTTCCCTTTCTGGCCCTTTTTTTTTTTTTCCCACTTCTATGTATATTGTCAGTATTATTAGTTTTAAAAATATAGGTGCTTTCTAGAATAAAGCCACATCTATTTTACAAATTCTTATGTTCTGTAAGACTGCGTAGTAAAAGTAACAGAGATTATAGCGTAATCTTACTGTATATCTCTAGAACTTTGTTCCCAGAAGCTTAGCAAAGACCAAAACTCCTCTGGTCTAAATATTTGCAGACTAGTTAGTCCATTCACATTTGCAACTAAGTTTGTAATCTGTCCGATACGTCTTCAGTTTGGACGTATACTTTTTCTTTTTTAATTAAACCTGTTTAAAAATAGGATTTGAAGATATCTTTCTGAATCATTAATTCATTTAAAAATAATTATTTATTATTACTTATTTTTTAATTTGACCAGAGAAAGAGAGAAAGGAAAAGTGAGAAAGCAAGTCACCAGGTTCAGACTCAAACGGTAGTCAGACATGTGGGAGTCTAGCACCTTAACCACCACACCATCAGCCAGCCCCTTAATCCATGGTTTTAGACAAGAAAAATGTCTTCCCAGCTTCTTCATCAGGTAAGTTTTATACAGAACCTCATGAAGCCACAGCACTAGAAACTTATTTTATTAATAAAAGGTATTCTGGGGACCAGTAGATGGCATCATGGTTGCATTGCTGGACTCCCACATTGTCAATCATGGTTTGAGTCCCAGACCCAGTGACTTGAAACTCACACTGGGCCCATGTGTGTGCTTGCTCAAAATCCTGAGAGGAGAATTGAATAGAAGGAATTGCAGTATGGCCATCCCTCCTGGTGGGTAATTTCTCACTTTCTGTTTTTCTGTCTCTCTGGAGAGGACACGCACTCTACAGCAAAAAGCCTTTCTTAAAAAAAGGCATTCTAGGGGCCAGCAGGTGGTGTGATGATTAAGGCATTGGACACTCCCACATGGTTGACCACAGTTCAAGTCCTGGACCTGGTGACTTTCTCACTTTCCCTCTCACTCTCTTTCTTTCTCTGGTAAAATTAAATGAATGAATAAAAAAAATTAAATAAATAATTCTTTAAAAAAACAGGCATTCTGCAGGATTTTAATTTTAATTTTTAAAATAAATTTTAATTTAATTTTCCTTCTTTAATGTTTTATTGTAATTTTTATTTACATGCTATGTATATTTATGTATTATAAGTACATAATATATTCTCATATACATCATTATAGCATTTACATATTATAGATCTTCGTATAATTCAGTGTGGTTTTTAAAAGTGTATATACAGTATGTAATAAACAAATTGAAATAAACTTATTCACCACCTCCAACATATAACATTATGTTATGCATATTTAAAATTCACTCTACTGGTTATTTAGAAAATATACTTTAAATTGTCATTGATATTCTTTACTGTGAAATACAGTAATAAAGAAAAACAAAGAAATTAAAAATCAGATGATGAAAAGTCTCATATATTAATGAAAATCTAATTTATTTAAAAAAGAGATAATCTACAGGATCAGAAGTTAGCATAATGGCTATGTCACTGGACTGCCACGTAGTCGACCGTGGTTCGCGTCTCAGACCCGGTGGCTTAAAACTCACGCCGGGTGCGTGTGCATGTGTGCCCAAGATCCCGAGAAGAGAGTGGAGGAGGAGGGATTGTGGCGTGGCCACTCCCCCTGGGGGGTGATTTCTCGCTTTCTGTCTGTCTGTCTCTCTCTGTCTGTCTGGCAAGCACACTGTCTAGCAAAAACCTCTGGGGGAAAAAACAAAAAGGAGATAATCTAAACATAGCCAATGAATAGTTAGGATAATAAACATATAAAGGAAATATGAAGCATTTTGAGACAAGTAACTATCAAATAATTGATGAATTTGTACTTAAATGTGCATTTTGTTTAAAATAGTTGAATCTGAATTTCTGGCATATATAGACATTTTTACTTATAAAGTTCTCATTTGGTTTTTGTTTTTGTTTCTTAATCATATTTATGTTTGACTGGAAAACATAATAGTTGTGACAGACATGCTAACATTTTCTTGAAGTCAAGAGAAAATGCGTCTGAGTGTCATAGAGCTGTGCAAAACTGTACAGCCCAGACCATCTTCGCCATACTTGTATTGACTGCTTTCAGGAACATGTCCAGCAGAGGACTTTCAGGAGCTAGGACATCTTCATTTACACTGATGTACTTTTCCAATTATCTACATGAAGTTACTCTTCCATCAGAGTGGAATGAATGTAGGGGTCTCTGTTTCCCCACACCCTCACTTAATGATTAGTCTTTTTTCCCAAGATACTAGGTAAAATTTCCTTCCTTCTTTTCTTCCTTCCTTCCTTCGTTCCTCCCTTCCTTCCTTCTTTCCTCCCTTCCTTCCTTCTTTCCTCCCTTCCTTCCTTCTTTCCTCCCTTCCTTCCTTCTTTCCTCCCTTCCTTCCTTCTTTCCTCCCTTCCTTCCTTCTTTCCTCCCTTCCTTCCTTCTTTCCTCCCTTCCTTCCTTCTTTCCTCCCTTCCTTCCTTCTTTCCTCCCTTCCTTCCTTCTTTCCTCCCTTCCTTCCTTCTTTCCTCCCTTCCTTCCTTCTTTCCTCCCTTCCTTCCTTCTTTCCTCCCTTCCTTCCTTCTTTCCTCCCTTCCTTCCTTCTTTCCTCCCTTCCTTCCTTCTTTCCTCCCTTCCTTCCTTCTTTCCTCCCTTCCTTCCTTCTTTCCTCCCTTCCTTCCTTCTTTCCTCCCTTCCTTCCTTCTTTCCTCCCTTCCTTCCTTCTTTCCTCCCTTCCTTCCTTCTTTCCTCCCTTCCTTCCTTCTTTCCTCCCTTCCTTCCTTCTTTCCTCCCTTCCTTCCTTCTTTCCTCCCTTCCTTCCTTCTTTCCTCCCTTCCTTCCTTCTTTCCTCCCTTCCTTCCTTCTTTCCTCCCTTCCTTCCTTCTTTCCTCCCTTCCTTCCTTCTTTCCTCCCTTCCTTCCTTCTTTTCTTCCTTCTTTCTTTAATTTTCTAGAGGTTATATCTACTTGCAGCGGCTGAGTCTCTCAAGAGGATATGAGAAAGCAACCCCTACCCACAAACCCCATCCCACCTCGTGGACTATGACACTACATAATTCTTCTTCCTTCTTTTTTCTCTCCTTTTGGGTTTTGGGGCACACAGGCACATACACCTGGTACATTTCTTAAGCAGCCAGATCCTAGCTTAAACCATGAAGTCAGCCATGTGAGATCCTGCAGCCTTAAGACCACCACACCATTGATTAGTCCACATTTCTTTATTTTTGAAACTACAGGGTTCTATCAGAGTGGGCCCAGACATCCATATTGTTTGTAGGCTTTGAAGTTTACTGTCAAATACACTGCTTGTCTTCGGTCTGGGACAATATGTAAGAACAGTAATATAGTGGATAGAACTAGGCTAGGAAGTTGAAGATGGAATTTCTGGCTCCTGGTCTGGTATTTACTATCTCTGTGACCCTTTGGGAAGTCATTTTACCTTTCTGTGCTCTGTTTTTCTGGCTATAAAATATGTATAATAATCTTTCCCTGCCTGTGGTAAGGAGGAAATGAAATAAATGCATGTAAAAGCTCTGGAGAACTAAGAAATATAACTCGCACATAAATTAGCTTTATTATTACCACAACAGCTAATTTAAGAAAGGATGTCACTAAAATAAATGATAAAAATTTAAATAAATACAAAATTTTAAATATAAATGTACCAAGGCAATGCCCTGAAAAAATCCCTTAGGTTACTATTAGAGATCTAAAATCATACACTCATTTTTTAATGTTATTTGTTATTTGAGAAAAGCAGTGGCAAACTATGTATTACATTGACATAAGTGTTATTAGAACCTCTTCTCAATAGCTTGAATCTATAAATGAAAAACTAAGTAGCAAACTGAATCAAACTGAGATGCCCTTTGGGAAACATAATATAACAAAGATAAGTTGGGCATTTAATCAGCTGCAGTAGAAGAAAGAAAGGCCACTGATATATGTCCTTCGTGTGCCAAATTACAGAAAAAAAGAAAGAGAGTGGTCAGGATCCCACGGCTGGTCTCTTTGTATAAACCAGTAATTCTAGACAATGTATCTACCCTTCTGAGTATGTATGTGCCAGACATTATTGTCAGCATGGAGCTAGTAATCTAACTGGCGAAATGACACACACACAGAGATAGTTTAAATACTAGTCAGTGTATAGAGTCAGAGAATCTTGGGACACATATTTCAAGTAAAATGGGAGATAAGAACAAGCGAGTACTCCATCTTTGACTTGCTGGCCTATGTCTATACCCTGTATCACTGTTTGAAAATACTGTTCCACACCAAAGACAAGTGTGTGCCTTACAATCAACTGAGAAGCTTGCAAATATAAATAGCTCAGCCCCACCAGCTAG